GATAACAAAATTAATGCAACTCAAATTATCACTTCCTGCAGTACTTCAGCAGAATTTGAGGATCACTTTGGTTCATTGAGACCGTAATCATAGTTCCCCAGAGATAGACTTCTTTAGATATATCATCCCCAGAGGTATAGCTGTTGTTGTTCTTAAGTTTTTTGATAACTGTTGTTGTTCTAAAGTTATCATAAACATGAAAGGCTTACCATTGTAAAACTACTAACAAAAGATAATTGTAATTGCATTTCATTAAGTTGAGCTGAAATTAGAAAAAAATTACCACCTCGTTGCAGAATAAATGGATAAACATTTGATTGCTAGCAGGATAATAATTTGCACAATTCTAGCGCTCCAAATATTGATTTTATCATTCCTGAATTTGGTTAGCATGTCAAACCTAAGCCTAAGTATGTCACAGAGAAATTTAGATAAGATTGAAGCAACCAAATTATTGCAGTAGATAAGACAATTGAAGCTCTCTATTGTTCTAAATCTTGGGAGGGAAAGAAAAACTTAGTTTTAAATACTTCAGTAACTACTTTATTAAGATTCTCGTGAGAAAAGAAACAATCCAGTACTTCTCAGGGTGTCATGCTATTAGTTACTATGAGGTATAAACTTCAATAAATTCAACAAGGACGAAAAGTTTACAGGGCAGAACAAACCAGACCTCTCTTGATGCCGGCAGTTAAATTCAACTACTACCAACTTCAGAGGGCGTCTTGGCCACAATTGACAAAGCGTGTAATCCGCTCTGCAACTCATCTTGCAGCAAATCATAAATCATCTTTTGCCTCTTAACCAAACTCTTCCCTTCAAATTCCTCAGAAACCACTCTTAGATTAAAATGCGTCTCTCCATCACTGCCTCTAACCCCAGCGTGTCCCGCGTGCTGATAAGATATATCTTCAACTTCCAATTCCATAGGCCTAAGTTCCTTCTCTAATCTCTCTTTAATTCTCATCCCTCTACTCCTCAAAACATCGCCATCTCCACCACCAACACTCACATTATTCCCACTAACATCAGTACTCTCTCCAGACTCAACATTTCCATTAATATTAACACCGCCCAACGAAGAAGCCTCAGTCGAGGCATTTAAGGATTCACTGCGTCCTAATGTAGCTGCCTTCTCAGCTTCAACGTACAACTGCAGTGCCTTTTTCTGCATCAGCTTCAACATATTCAAAAAGCCATTATTCCTGGAAGGAGTTAAGCTTTGTTGCAACCCTAAAAGGACAGCAAAATCAGGTGAAACTTTTATAATCTCTTCAACGGGCCGACCAGATAGACCCAGAACCAACAAAGCAGCAAGCCCTTTAGTGAGTACCGAATCAGAATCAGCCTCAAAGATCACATTTTTCTCCGAATCAAAATAAGCCCTAACCCAAACCTGTGAAACACAACCCTGAACTTTATTTTCAGTGGTCTTGTATTTTGCATCAAGTGGGTTTAAATTTTTACCGTAAAATAAGAGCTGCTCGTATTTAGCCTTTGGTTGTTCGACTGCTTGAAAGAGTTTGACGATTTCTTGGAGTTTCGGTGGGAGCTCTTCAATGGGTTGGAGAGATGATGAGGGTTGTGAAGAAGCACTTGTGGGAGTAGCAAAAATTGATTTTGTGAAGATTTTTTCAATAGTAATGGATCTAAAGAAGGTTAATTTATTGGGTGTAGAATGTAAAGAAGAAGAAGAGGGTTTTAGGGCTTTATTAAGGGATGGTGAATTAGGGTGGTGGAGGACAGGGTGCGGGATTTTGGTGGAAATCGACATGAGATAAGGGGAAAGAGAAAATGGTGGGTTTGATGTTGAACTTAGTTGGTGGTGGTGGAGGGAAGAACGGAGGATTCGAGAGAAAAGAGAGCCAAGAGATGGAAAACGTGCCTCACTTAGCATACCACCGCCAACCTTGTTACAGCCTACTACTACTCCTACAAGACAAGAGAACAGAGAACAGAGAACAGAGAACAGAGAACAGAGAACTGTTTGTTTGTTTGTAGCTAGCTAACTGCATTTTCAGCCTCTCAGAAAGGGTAAATTTTTCAGATTAGGTTCGCTTTTGTGGGTTATTCAAAATTTCCCTCGTCTGCCAGCAAAAAGATATTCTCTACATGTATAAATTTCCCAAGTCAAACTTTTTATTTTTTAAATCATAAATTCCAATATAAATTTTTTGAAATAAAATTTAAATATTTAAAAACTACGAAAAATACTATAAATTACAATAGTTAATAATTTTAAATATTTAAAGGACATATAAAATCAAGAAAATTTTTATTTTGCCCTCAAAGTTTAGACAATGCCACATAAATTAAGACAAGGGGAGTAATACTTATAAATAAAGCTTAATAGGTAACTATACCTACTTGAAATGATTTCTATTCTTCGTCCTTCAATTTCATGAGTTTTTGATGTATTATTTGACTAAGATTGTGTCGTATTAATATGGCTAAGTTGGATGAAATGTATGGAAATTTTTTATTTTGTATGAGACTATCTTCTACATTTGACAAGTGTGATTGTGGGCCCATTTAGTGACAGACTAATAAATAAAGAAAAAAGATGAACTGATGGAATGTGGGCCACAACTAAAGGATTAGATATAAATAAAAATAAAACTAAATTGTACTATGTACTCCTAGGTAAAAGCCACGGTCTCTATCTTAATTGAATTGAAGAATTTGAGCACTTAAAACTAAGAGCCTTTCGTTTTTTCCACTTGAAACAACTCCCCAAACAAAAACAAAAAAATCCTTAAACACTATTTCCTCATGGAGTCATGGGTATTAATCTAAAAACCATTCTGAATTACTTAGTTATTCAAATAAGCTACAGTAATAATAATTTGACTTTACTTTGTAACTAAAATGCTTAACTAGAACAAAAATTTGATATAATTAAGAAAATAATTGTTGATTTTCAAGTATACATCCAAGTTTTTAGCACGCCTTCAACTTCAAGTTGCGAAACATGTTTTGATAACAACACATATACTAGCTCGGTTATAATTATCTCTTTAAATTGTAATTATGCTAGTTTGCCGAAAATATTATTTTTATGTAAACTGACTTTCATTAAAGAACGGCACAATCTTAGAATAGTTTATTCACGCACATGGCCTTAAGGGAAATATGCATGAAAATTTGAATTGCGAAAACTAAAAACTAAAACTTATTAAGAAAACCCAAAAGGAAACAATAAACTAATAGAGAAGCAATTAGTGTATACCAATTTCGACCTTTTCTATAATCAATAGAAATGGCTGGCTTTAGCCTTCACGAGTTTTACATGGAGGAAATATTTTAATGAGGGTAAAAAAGTAAATTATTTGGGCAAATCTCAAATACTTTTAAGCCAAAAAGTAATAAGTTGAAATGACCAAATTATAAATTTTAGCTTGTTTTAAGTTATTTTAGCTTAAAAGTACTTTACTCAAAATTACTTTTTAAGTTTATCAAGCACTAAAACAAGCCATAAAGTGCTTTAAGTTGAATTGGTAAGCTTTTAAGTCAATTCAAATATCCTCTTAGTGATAAAAATTTATATTAATCTTATTTTAATTTTATAGTAAACAATATTTTGATAATGACAGGTTAAACATGGTAGTAAATGAATCAATATGCAAAAGTACTCAATGCTAGTGACCGCATTTTTGTATTTCTGTACCAAATGAGGAGAATTTTATTAACAACTTATGTATAATATACTTTATATTTATATCAATGAACAACTTCTAAAGGTCATTTTTAAAGCGTTGGTAACTTAAGATGATTTTGAAAAAATATAAACTTTTATAATGAAAACGAAGAAGGCATATATATGCAAAAATATAAATATTACGTTTGGTGGTGAGCAAAGTTTATGGTAATTAAAGAGGGAAATGGTTTTACGTTTTCTTTCCTTCCATTTCTCTTGTACGATATCTATTTAGCTACATGTTTATGGAATATATGAGTGGGAGTGGGATCCACATCAATAAGAAAATTACTTTTTCTTTTTTGTTTATTCAAATTAAACCAATATGAGAAAATGAACCCAACAACCACACTTGTCAAATGAAGAAGGTGGCCTCATACAACTATTGTTGGTGAGTCTCACCCAAAATAAAATTTCTCAAATGCATGGTGTATAGCACGTAAAAAGCATGAATAGAGAGTGATTTTGATTAGAGGAAAAGGTCAAAGATGTCTTATACTATCTGAATTTCTCATTTTTTCCCTCGTTACACTTTTTTTGTCCATTCATATCTTTTGTTGTTAACAAATTGTCTCGTACCTTTTCTTGTTATTTATGGAGTACTAACAAATTGGTGAGTTCCATGTAGCCAAATTCTTCAAGAAATATCTAAATTTACTCCTTTACATTTAAATTTATTTTAAGATTGTGCTCAAGTTGGAGTTTCATTAGCGATCAAGAAAAAAAGGAGATCTTTTTGTAGTGACATAGGTAATATGAGACCAAAAGTCAAGGACAAAGTTGCTCAATTTTGAATTCTAGACGGACAAATATTGCCCCTTATTTTTGGTTAGAAAACCGGCTAAAATAAGAAAAGAAAAAGAAAAAAATTAAAGTAAAAGGATAACACCTCCATTCCCATATTCAAATTCTCTCTTCCCCTACCCCTTTCTCTGGCTGCTAATGCAATATTGGTTGGAAGAGGGGAAGCAATTACAGAAGCAAGAGTTTGAAACGAGCAAAATGAGTGAAGAACAAAGGGTTAGCTTTTAGTGAGAACATTGTGGAAACTCTCACTTGAATTTTACATGCTAAAAAAGAAGACACCAACACAATTGTTGGACTAGAAAGCGTTAAAAATAAAATTTTCAAACAAAAAACATATGATAGAATACCAAAGCCCAAAAAAGCTACAAGAAATAGATAACTTTTTTCCAAAACCTAAATAGAAAACTCTCAGCTCTTTATATTCGAGTCTACAAACTGACATTACTTTTCTTCTATTTAACTCAATACACGAAACCACTATCATCGAAAAAGTAAAAGATGGTTCTTTGTAAGTGATGTGCACAATCATCTCCAATAATAGAATCGAAGTACAAGCATCATCTTGAGGATGAAGTGCTGGGGAAAAAAAAATTGGAGAGGTTTTAAATAAAGGGAAAAAGAAGCGGGACAACGATGAAAGTTTCTTAAAAAGAGGACTAGATGGATTTTGGGAGATGTAAAAAATGGTGGAGCTCATTATTTGTCCAGAGATATGGGGCATACTTGAGTAATGGTTGTCTAGTCAAAAAATTATGAAAAGAGAAAATAGAGTGTATTTGAATTTTAAAAAAATAGCTTTGTGATGATGAATGCATATTCTTATCTAATGTGGATAGTTATCCAAATTAATGCGATTGAGAGACACACAGGGTCAAGTGCCATTGATGTAGTGATTTTAAATAAATTAGTATCTAGTCAACAACTAGGCGATTGCTGAAATGCTAGTCAAGCATCTTCAAATCAATACACAATATGCCTTCCACAATACACACTCTTCTCAAGCGATACAAGATAGTGCTAGCATCTCTTAAACATCTGAAATCTCCCATGATGTCTAAAAATCCTGACCTTTCTTCAGAACTAAACTACAATCTTAGTCATACAATCCCAGTACCTCATGACTCACTGCATCTACCATGCTACAATATGAAAATACGTGAACCTTATCATCAACTCTAAATCACGAGTATGATAAACACTCCACTAACCAGAAATCTTATATTTAACTTAATCTAGGAGAACATCGCGACACGCAACAAACCTTCCATGATCGTAGAAGACATCAACCTGAAGTCGTGGTCAAAACCATCGTGGGTTATTCGAAACCCATTAGCGCACAACCAAGCCATCAAAACTAAATCTTTCTAAATCAATCAAGTCACACAGACTATCAATCCCAAAAGTAACTCAAACCAAAAATGTACTAAATTATATTTAACTTAATCTAGGAGAACATCGCGACACGCAATAAACCTTCCATGACCGTAGAAGACATCAACCTGAAGTCATGGTCAAAACCATCGTGAGTTATTCGAAACCCATTAGCGCACAGCCAAGCCATCAAAACTAGATCTATCTAAATCAATCAAGTCACACAGACTGTCAATTCCAAAAGTAACTCAAACCAAAAATGTACTAAAGAGATCTTATGTGGATCCGTAACTATTTCTTTCATATCTCTAATACTACAAGGCAGAATTAATGATGATATATAGATACTGCAAGTCTCGGCATCATCCATGAAAAATCTCAAATTCTTAACCATTCAGCGAAATTCAGCAAATCCTAAAGATACCATACATGAATCTTGAACACACTACAACCATCCTCAAAAGTCACTCATTCCGGCCAAGTCCTGGATACATAGCCAATATGTAGCTAGCTCTTCTCTAGCACATGCATACTACGAAAGAAACAACCGAGAAATTCCTTCCTTCTGCACACTACATCCACATTGGAATAACAAACCTGAATGATCTCAAGATTTTTATATACCCATAAAGTGTAGTACATCATGCATCCTGCAAAATCTCTTACTCGAATCATCCTCGAAGTCATCTCTTCAAGTTATAACTAATCCACAAGCATATCCTAGTCCAGGAATTATAACAATACATGTCCATATGACCTAATCATTGATAGTAAACTCCCCACTTAGCTCGAAGCCACAAAACACATCATCTGTTAATCCATCATACTCTTCCTTTATAACTGTCATGATCTCGCACTGCCATCCAATTAAATCACCTCATAGGCTCATGCAGCACTAGTCATCACGCCTTCCAAATCATCCTCCAAGTTCATACTCATCCTCGTGACATTCATACAAACCTCATCAAGCCATCCGAACTATAACTGTAGAACATACATCCCATTGGATAGAAGGAAAACTCTTCAGAGAAACCTCATAAGTATTACACAACATTACACCTTCTTGCAAGAGATAATCCACATGCTTAGCCTCCAACCGACGTCTCTCTAAGACCCCACCATGGTTACAATGACTATGCAGTCCATTAATCATTCTGAGTCCATACTCGTCGACCATATACAAAAATTTGCTTC